TGCGCATGAAAACTTTGTTAGCCATCGAGATATATATATTTTCTCTTATGCAGACTTCCCGATGTTATTATTGTACGGACACTATGTATTTTTTACTCTCTACTTTCCTCCATATTTACAATGGCATCCGCATGCCAATAAAGAATGATGATAATCAATCACAAATACTTGTGCGCATGAAGCGTTGTTAGTCATTGATATATATGAGACCAATAATAAGACTCACACATACTGTATACTAACAACTCGAGTCCCATTCATATCAATGACTAACAATGCTTCGTGGGCCCACGACACAACAGATAATAGCACAACTGCTTCATGAATCACGTTAGCTCCCTAGATATTATTTTGTCTTCATCACCGGTATGAGATGATTTGTACAGGGTAATGCTCCCTAGATCTCCTTTTAATTTAATAAAGTTAGCCAATAAGAATATATGTAGTTTTCCAATAAGAAATCATATACAATACTAGTGGTGTATGGAATGGAATGGAAAATTCCCATTCAATTCTAACTTTAAGTTATAAATATAAAAAGAGTGGTGATTTCCGTACTTCAATTTTATCCGGTTACACTTTTTTTTTAATTATAAAATAGAGTGTAAGTAGATAAAATTGGAGTGGAGAAATCATTACCCTATAAAAAGAGAAGCCATACGCTCATTGGACCACGAAACAGAGAGATGTCCAATTTTGTCGAGAACCAGAGAAGGATAACAAAAACAAAACGTACAAGTAGGGGGAAGGAAGGAGAGCACCGCCATTATTATTCAACTGGTGTCGTCATGTGCTCTATGTTCTTGTCATGTCTGTGCCAAAAAAGTCAAGGCTGACTCTCTCAATATGGCTGGCTGGCTGGCTTACAGTTCACCAAGTGAGGCACAGCTGCAGGGCTAGCGACTGCTCTCTTTGTCCCTATGCCTGGTGCGCCAAGCTGCCACTTGATGCAGAGAGTTTGACCAAATCCTATTCTTTGATGAAGCACTTGTTATTGGGAGGGAATGAAAGCAACAGTTCTTTCATATCTCTCCATTAGACATTAATTCTTCATTCTTCTTTTTTGTTTTGCAGTGATGGATGATGATAGAAACTGAACTGTTCATTTTTTAATTTAAGTTTTTTCTTCCAGGATCATTCATGCAAAAAAAACTACTTAAAGTAGAAATTGTTCAGTAATTTAAATAAAAAAATATTAATCAAAAGATGTTCTAAGTTCGAATTCTCATTTTTTCTTTAAACCCTAAAACACTAGGTTTGGTAAAAATATATATATATTGGCATTGTATTATTTTTCATTTTAACATCAACATTGAATGATTGAAGTTAACATTGCTATTTGTACCATCTCAATTCACCATCTAGTAGTGTCATCGTCTCTTTATAATAAGAATAGTGGGAATTCGAACTCGTAACATCTTTTACTAATGAAGAAAGGTATTCCTAAACATTAGCTAATTGGTATAATAATGGTTCCTAGTATCTACCTTTGATTTCTTCGAAACAACCAATAAACTAAGAATGTGGTGTTCTCAATCTCATCACATATAATTGTTGTTTATGTTTGCTTTATTTTAACATGAACTTTAGAAGTTAGAACTGATCTGGCATAAAGTAACTGCATGCGATCGTCAAATAATATTATATATACTTATAATAATAGTAATTAATTAGCACCTCTAAACTAAACCCATCTTCTCCCTTTCCTTTTCTAAGGACGGTTGGCCAGGAGTGTTAAAATATTATTATGTTATCTCATCAAATAAAGTTTGGTTTATTTTTTAATAGAAAAACTCCCACTACTCATTCCTTCATTGGGTGCTAGCTCCTTGGCACATGCGCATGTGTCAATTGATTTTGTTCTTTGTGTTATTATTTTGGAATTTACCAATATTTACCAATAATAATTTTTGGAATTTTGAGTATTTCACATTTAAAGTTTTCGGATTATATTAATAATAATTCTTTAAGGGATAAAGAAAATATTAGGAAGACTAACTTTAGATACCAGCTTATGTACTATCTCTCTAACAGAGGCAAGACTCGTTATATTGATGGGCTCCACCTCTATTAAAGAGATGATACACAAATTGGTCCCTAGCACGACTCTTAAGATAAACTCTGATTAGCACACGTTTCGTCTATATCATGTAAACAAAGTCTTATCTTCGCGGAGATTTAAATTTAAACATAAAGTCTAAGTTGTCAACTAATATCATAATATCATTTTCTAGTATTGAACCATCATGGAGGAGGAACGACCATTTGTTTCCTTTCCTTTTCAATCTACCCTCTTACTGAGATACGTGCCTGATACTATACCATGCGATACAAATACAACGTCGTTTGAGAATCTTAACTTTATTGGTACTGTTGCTTTTACCATGTCAGTTTCCTGCCCATCTCAATCTTCATTATTTTCCTTTGCTTCCCTGTCCATGTGGGTACCACCAAAAAGGAAGATAAGTAGCTAGCTCGCAAAAGCTCAGAATTTATAAAAGAAGAGGATGGAATGGAAAGTACGGATCCAAAGTGAGTATCTTAACTAGTGTTTGCAAAACTGACTACATGATATACCAATCTACAGTAAAGGGCACTGCTCCTATTTTTATTTTCCTGTTCCTCCATGCTATTATCATCTAAACTATTCATTTTCTAAAAATCGGGAACTCTATGCGGTGGGCTCCACTTGCACCATGCTAGAACCGGTCTTGACTACGTGGTCATATTTTTTTTTTTGGTTTAAACCATGAGGTGGTCCTGGATGGGCCCCAATTATGGGTGGCACCTTTAAGCCTTAACCACAACCCAGACTAATCTCCACTCACACCGGATCGGCCCGTAAAGGGTAAAGTGTTGGCCAAAGAGGTGACTCCGTACGAGAGCAGGGATCGAACCCCTGACCTCTCTTAAGGAATGAGAGTACCGAACCACTCACACCAACCACCTTGATTTACTACGTGGTCATATTTCAATACCATACAATAATACATCCTCAATTTGGACCTAACTAGCTAATGTTTGAGCCGTTAGGTTTGTACTTGGATGCTAAATCGACACCCACGTGTGAACCCTAGATAGAATTTATAGTGCCATGAACTGGCGGATCTATGCCAAGGGCATGGTGGGCTGCGCAGCCCAAATTTTTCCAAATAAACAAATAGCTATATATGTTAGCCCTGCACTCATACACACTGCCCACTCGAGTCCTAGCGCACGCCTTCTCCTGTTGTCCTTTTGGCTGGGCAGAGCTAAGGCAATAAAATAGTATAAAAATTGCTTCTATTTTTTAATGCTGGGAAAGTTTAATAGCCAACCCTCAATAAATAATATAGCTACTCACTCTTTTAGTTGCCATTTTTACACCTAATTAGGTATTGTTTTTCTTATTTTTTTTATTCATCAAGATGTGATTGTGTTGTTATCTCTTTTTTACCCTTGAGCATATGTTCTTTTCCTCATTCTTAGTACTAAGAAGAAAAATCTTTATATAAAAATTCTAAAACAAATACTATTGCTTATAAAGATAAAATACAATAGTCTTCTTATAGTTTTCACTTCTTTATAGTTACTCTTTGAACAAACAAATAAAGGAAAAAAAACATAACAACAAATGAGAATAAAAAACATAACAAACACTAAAGAGAAAGAAAAACTCAAAGGGAAATATGATATGTAAATTATAGGCATGCATAAGTATTGATTAATTTACTACTTATCCAACAAGAATCTTTGATTATGATTCTCTCTTTAATTTTTTTATTCCCCTCTATGTGTATTTTTTATATTTATTAATTAAATTAGCTAATACCGTCAAATATAATATATAAGTTTCGCCACTCCAACTCTCAAATCTTGAATCTTCCATTGGTATCATGTGCTTCCCACAATAATAAAGTACACAGAACACATGTTCGCATTTCCATTTTCTTAGGACATTGATGCCAACTTCCACTATCTCTCCCAATTTGTTCTTTTTCTTAGTTGACGGCTAAACTCTATTTCTAAATTTTCAATGCGTATTGTATCATCATAATCCTCATATGCAGAACGCATTATTTGCAATTTTTCTTTCTCTTTTAACATATTGTGATTTTAATTTCCTAAAAAAATAATAAAATAATTAAAAAAAAGGGGTAATGGGTAGAAATGAAAGCTCAAGAGTGCATGGCCTTCACATATAGTGCGTCGAGGCCATCGAACTGTGGTCCCTTTCAATATGAATCAATAGGTCGTTTTTACATATCATATTATATACATTCTTTCTTGTTGCTTTTGCAGAAAAGTTGCAGAAATGAATAACCGATGTCGGCTGTCCTACGCTATTAAGAATTATGTTTTCGATGAATCTAGACCACACATTCTGATAAAAATGATTCGGCTTTGATTCACAGAATCTAAGTGCTAACTATTAAGAATTACTGTAAATATAGTAAACTCGTTATACATTGTTTGCTATTATCAAATAAATTAAATTTTATAATCAATTAATTGTCTAACATAATATCAGAGCCTTAAGTTACAGGAATTCCGTGATTCGAATCCTCATTTCCCTTCTGCTCTACTGATTTTCAAAGTTGGTTGGGCCTAATTTCTTTTATAGTTGTGTAGTCTTATTCAAAGTTCTGTTTTGGTTGAGGCATCATGACCTGACCTTGGTTGATTTCTATTTCGAGCAAATATTTAGAGTGGGCATGGCCCATCATAACTGCCCTCACTGGAATTTGGCAGTGAGGTGTGATGAGCGCCACCTGTTTGCTTAAATGTTTGAAACCCTATTGGTGGAATTGAGTTTTCCTTAGGTGTATTAGCAGCTGCTTGTAAAATGAGTTATTTAATCACCGAAAAATAGTATTTTTTATTTTACACTCCTTTTTAAGTTATAAAATGGAGTGTAAGTGGATAAAATTGGAGTGGGGACGGATGATATTGGTATTATTGATGTTTGTCTTTTACTGTTCTGTTTGCCTTTGGTTATCTTAGCATTTAACTACCTGAAAATAAGAGCTGCAGGATATATCTGGGTCAAATGAGTTCAAGTCTGCTATCATGAAAGTGACATCGATTTTCTTGTGGAAATCTTTTTGGGAATTTATGATTTTTCAATACTATTTATGCTGTTGTTTTATGAACCAGAAAAATTATGATTTGAGTGGGAGGACCATTGAGTATTTTTCTTTTGCAAGTTGTGATTATGGATGTCTGCTAAATGTGTCCTCACTCACCTTCTCTGTCCTAGCATGAAATTTCTTGTGCTGGCCATCAAAGAAGCTTATTTATAGCCTACCTTTTCTGGTATTGCTTTGAAAAGCTTTTATTTATTCTCCAAGAATGGTGGCACTAAAATTCAAAGTCTAGTGGTCTACCTGTTTTAAGCCGCTTCCATATTTAGAGCTTGTGCCTTCAAAGTATAAGTACTCACTGTACTCAGGAGTAAATTTTTGAGCTCAACAGTATGAAAAGCAGAAGAGGAAAGCCCTCTGAGGTATGCTTTTTCTGTCAACCACTTTTATGAATCTCAAGATTCAGCACATGGTTTTCAGCACATGGTTTCAGCTATTGATCAGCTCATGTTGCATTTTATTGCAGGCTTTCTGGCCTTCCCTTATGATGAAGAAATGGCTAAACATAAAGCCAAAGGAATATGATTTCAGTGCAGATGAGGTTGATACTGAAACTGAAACTGAAACTGAAACGGAAAGTGAAGATGACGGTATGGTTTCATGGTCTCAGCTTTGTACTCTTCAACATTATGTTTCTCGAGTATCCTGCGCTTAATCAAGTTTTCTGCAATTTTTGTCTTCCAGGTTACTCTCTCAAAGATGCAAGAAAGCACATGCGTGATGATCATGGCCTTAGAGAAAACCATTCCGATTTCCGAAGTCAACTTTCAGGCAATTCTTTTTTCACAGCTCATATCAGTAAATTCCGTTATGAGCATTTACTTGTTCCAGATTAAGCACATCTTACCTATTTAATCTTGTAATTCTTATCACTAAAATCATTTCTGGACCTTTAGCTTTGATGTCAAGTTTTGATATGAGAGAGCGGAAAGGCAAATGGTGAAATTTCTTGAATAGGAAACCATTTCTGGGCATCTTAATCATATAGCTGTTTCTGCTTCATAATTAAATCTAAAGAAGACTTTAAAAACTGTTTGATCACTCTCAGATATCTCATAAGGGTTTATATCCATGTTCTCTATTAATATACATGATGTGTTTTTTCAATTTGCCTCAGATCTTCCATCTAAGGGCTACCAGTTAAAACACCGGAGAGGGAAATCAGAAACTGTACGTGCTCAGTACATAAACACAAAGGATGTGAGGTTTGGCTATTATTCTCGTACACTTTCAATGTTAGCCTAGAAGTAGTACCAGTATGGTTCTTACTCGAACGTACCTTGGGGCACATGGTTGTATGTAGGGTGACAGTAGGCAGTTGGAATGTTGCTGGAAGACTTCCGTATGAAGATCTTGATATTGACGATTGGCTTTGTACCGAAGAACCAGCAGATGTTTACATTCTTGGGTAAGTTACTCCTCCAGTTGTTGGTCCTATATCATTCTTTCTTCCTTGACATAATCCACCTAGGCACACACTTCCAATGGTTTGTTGCATAAGGGATCTTTCCTCCCTTCACCCCTGCCTCAAAAACTGCGTTTGATAACTGGTTAGCCTCGTATATTCTGGTGGCAGGCGCTCACCCAAAAGTATTTTATCAACATATTATCTAGTTTCCATTTCATTTTCATTTGACTGGTACTAATTATCGTTCAGTTTTCAAGAGGTTGTCCCTTTGAATGCTGGGAATGTACTGGGAGCAGAGGATAACAAATCAATACCAAAATGGGAGGCAATCATTCGAAAAACTCTGAACAAATCCTTGGAACCCGAAAGCAAACACATATGCTACAGTGCTCCACCTTCACCAGTACAAAGGACTTCTTCTGTTGCTGATGTACTTGCAGAAACTAATGCTCATCCGTTAGGTTTTCTGGGCCAGGAATATGTTGGAGCTACTAATGGTTGTGACTTGGAACATGGTCAATTGAATAAAGTACTCAGCATTGGGAGAAATTTGCAATGGAGGAGAATTTATGGCATCGATTGCGATAGTAGGCTAGATTGGCCTGAACTTTCATTAGATGCAACCCCTCAAGTTGTCTTCACCAGTTCCAAATTGCGGCGGGTGCTGAGCAGTTCTGCAAGAATGAGCTTTAATACCTCGGATAATCCTTTAATATTCAGTCCTCAAATTTCACAAAAAGATGGTGGATTGAAAAGATCACACCATAGCTCTGGGAACCTGCGGAGATCAATCTCTGTGGAGCAGCAAGTGATGCCTCAAGTTTTTGACACTCTCTCTAATGTGTCTGACAGTGTTTTGGAAGAGGAAGATGATTTCTTTCATGAATTACCAAATGAACAACTGAAAAATGAAGTTATCGACGATGGAGCAAAGTTACCTTCTACATATGTCCGAATTGTCAGCAAGCAAATGGTAGGGATATATATATCCGTCTGGGTGCGTAAGAAGTTGAGGAGACACATTAACAATCTGAAAGTATCTCCAGTTGGGGTTGGTCTAATGGGCTTCATGGGAAACAAGGTACTTCCTGTTGTTTTTTTCATGCTGGAAGTGCATCATCTTATGTGGAATTGATGTTGGTGTTCCCCAACCTTAAGAAAGTTAAGATAATATGCATTTGGAATTGAAAGGGTTTTTTTTTTCGCTATCACAATCTACAATCTGGAGTAGGTTACATTGTATTGCATCAAGCTAATGTAGGGTGCTGTGTTTATTTCACGATGATAGTGAGCCATGTTCTATGAGTTCACTTGTTTTGATTTTCAAATGAAATAAAAACAGTGTCCCTCAACATACTGATGCATTAAAATGTGATTAACTGCAGGCTGAAGATTGCATTAATTGTAGAGGAGACAACATGTTATAATGTGCTGATCAATTGTTGAATGTTCTTGCCTTAATGCTATTGACCATCTTCGTAATTCATGGTTGCTCAAGCAGGGATCAGTTTCCGTTAGTATGTCCCTTTTCCAATCGCGAATGTGCTTTGTTTGTTCTCATCTGTCCTCTGGTCAGAAGGAGGGGGCTGATCAAAGGCGGAATTCAGATGTGTATGTATTTCATCGATGCTTAGAAACTGTACTAAATATGGTTGCTCAAGCTTCTGTGGACTATGTTTCCAATTTGTATTTCAGTGCAACTAGACAGTTGTCAAGAACTTGGACAGTATTAGTTAACTTTCTCATTTGTTGTAGAACATCAAAACTAGTCAATTTGAGTCAAGGTAACTTGCTAATGTTGAATTGACAGTTTATTTAACTTTAGAAACTGCGCCTTCACTCATGATTGTTTTTCCTTTTGTTGGGTAGGAGGGAGTTCAATAAGAGAGACCACACCATAGAATAATCTTCAGCTTCACGACTATTTGTACTTTTTCCAGTCAGTATAGGGGTGAAGTTATTACCATGATTCAGTCAATTGATGAGTATTTCCTCTTTATGTACTTGGTATTCCTGTAACAGGTGTGATCGTATACTATGGCTAGGAAAAGGCATCAGACAACTTTCTTACGAGCGGGCAGAAATAAAGCTTTCAGATCATCGACCAGTTAGTTCAGTCTTCATGGTTGAAGTTGAAGTCCTAGATCATTGGAAGCTGCAACGAGCGCTCAATTGCACTAGTGTAGCCGTTCATCCTGAGATCTTCCTGGATGAAGATGAGGATTTAGACTATTAATTAGAAGAGATCAGGTAACAATCATGAGATGTTATTATTTCCTTCTGAAGAGTACTGGAACTCTGTCAATATGAGCCCACTGCAATTTAGAGTTATTATTTCTCTAAATAGCATCAGCAACATAGCTAACATTTTATTCAACACCAAGGCAATACCTGAAATCTTTTGTTGTGTAAACCTCTAAAGAAGCTCCCAGCTGTGTGGTTTAATTCAGTGGTTTTGGAAATGCTGTTAAATGAGCCTTTGCTTGTGTTACCTTTTCCTGTCACTCTACCTGACTGCATCATTAAACAACCATGAAATTTTTCAAGAGTTGTTATGAACCAAAAATAAATGTATAAAAATTCATGCCATGTTCAAGTACTTCTTTACAGTAAGTTCCTGAGAAGAATTTGATATGAAGTTGTATTAGTAATTCTGTGTATGTGGCCTTCCTGTTTATACTTGCTGCTGCTATGTGGTAATTTGCCTATTGGTTCTTTTGCCCTTAAACAAAATAATGATGTTTTTGCATACCTATACTAACATGGACTGATTATCTTTCACACAGGAAATTGCAGGCCATGCTGACAAGCGTTGAACGCTGGTATCGTTTTTGACAGATGGGATTCAAGATGCTGCTCTCAAACACCATAACTGACATACCAGTATGCAAAACAGTAGCTAGGATAACAAGAAGTTTATATATATTATACAAGTCAAGGTATTAATAGTATACATCAAAGGGGAAAAAAAACATCTTTCTTTAACGGATCTTAAACTTAAACAGTTGCGATTTTCATTTGTATATTGGTTACTTTGTCTGTGTATTATCCTTTTCTTCTCTCTCTTCTGTAGTTAGAACTTCTGGGTTGTGCTTGTGTCTGTGGGAAAGGATAGGAATCATCTGACAATTGAATAGAACATGAAAGTTGCATTGTGTTTCTGACTTTGGATCTTCGCTTTGTACGGATGAAGTAAGTGAAAAAGAACTAGAAAAAATGAATGGTTTTTTGACTTGGAGAACAACAAAAAAGAACTAGAAAAAATGAATGGTTTTTTGACTTGGAGAACAACAAAAAAGAACTAAAAAAAACGAAATGGATTTTCCAAAGTCAATGTAACAAATACAAAATACCCAAACACTACCAAATAATGGAGCTTACAAATGCACTATCCACTATCATGCTAAGTGACAGAATTAGGGGGGTAGAAGTATTTTTGTTTAAATACAGAGAGGGGATTCGAACTTTTGCCGGAGGTGTAGAAGTGATACTCTCTACCACCAGAGCTAATATAAGCCCCAAGAGAATCGGGCATATTCGATCCGGCACAAAATGGCTACTTTCTGGTTTTCAACCTGTACCATTTGCTAATAACGGGATTAACCTTAATTTGTGGACCCATGAAATAGTCCCCATGCCCTTGAAACTAAGCAGTTAGCTTTTGAGATAATGAGAAGACAATTAGGTAGGAGTAGTTGCATCAACTTTCAACAAAATATAAAAAAGGAATGTGGTTATGCTAAGTTGGTTTGAAAACATGGAAGGCAACATTTTTAAGCAAAGTGCAGTAAAAACGTCACACTAACGCCTATACATATCAAACTAGTATAGATGGAGATGTTACTTCAACATTCCTGTCTCAGAAATTAATCCAATCAACACTATAAATCCACTATTTCATTTTCTACAATGGAGAACATAAGGAGGAGGATGGTCTTGATAGTACTACTAACAATGGTTTTCCATGGCACTGGAACTTCTGTTGAGGATGATGGACCTCTATTTCTTGACTATTACAAAGAAAAGTGCCCTTTGGCAGAAGAGATTGTGAGGCGTAGTGTTGCAATCGCGGTGGCTAAAGATCCTCGAATGGCGGCTTCACTCCTTCGCTTGCATTTTCATGATTGTTTTGTTATGGTTGAGCCTCTCTCTCTCTCTCTCACCCTCTCCCCCTTCCGCACACACACAAACACACACGGAGCCAAATTTGCCGACTTTGGTTTCGGAAGTTTGTCTTCCCTTGTACCAGTCAGTGCATGCATACTGCAGGGGAGAGACAGAGCAATATCATAGATATGAAAGAACAAGAATCAATACTTTACTTTGATCTTCTTGTTTTGTTGTTAACAGTTTTTGTTTCTTTGGAGTTAGGGGTGCGATGCATCTGTTCTTTTGGACAGCTATGAAGGCATAGTCAGTGAAAAGCAAGCCGGCCCAAACCTAGATTCTTTACGAGGATTTGAGGTTGTCGATGAGATAAAGTATCACCTGGAAGAGGCTTGTCCAACAACAGTTTCATGTGCTGATATTCTAGCCTTGGCTGCTCGCGATGCTGTTGCATTGGTACATCTCTCTCTCGATGTTGTCCAGAAGAGATGTGATCAGAAATAATGTCCTCAGTAAATTTGATACATGTAGCATCACTCTTTCAAAAATTGTAAGTATTTTGTAACATTTTTCGTTTTTCTTCTGTTGGTGAAAAGAGAGGTGGACCAAGCTGGAATGTGTGGCTAGGCAGGAGAGACTCATTGCAAGCAAGCTTCAGTGGTGCCAACCAGTTCATCCCCGCTCCGAATTCCTCTCTAGAAACTCTCATTGTCACTTTCAAACAACAGGGCCTTGATGTAGGAGACTTGGTTGCCTTGTCAGGTAAGTTATTCAAGAATCAATATCATGTGAAAAATATGCCTTTTTTCTTTCTTTCTTCAATGAAATTACTATTAAATGATAGGACTTACAAAGGGTAGATCTGCAGGTAGCCACACAATGGGAAGGGCAAGATGTTTAAGTTTCAGACAGAGGGTGTATGATGTAGACTTCAGAGGAAAATACGAATTATATGATAAATACAAGAGATATACGACCTTTCGAAGAATCCTACGGTCCATATGCCCGAAATCAGGGAGGGACGATGAATTAGCACCGCTTGATTTTCAGACACCAGCCAGATTTGACAACCATTACTACCTTAACATACTCCAAGGGAAAGGTTTATTGGGGTCTGATAATGTGTTGGTCACACAAGATCATGAAGGGGAGATACTAAAGCAGGTGTGGGCTTATGCCTCTGATCAAAAGCTTTTCTTTGCTTCATTTGTAAAATCAGTGATCAAGATGGGAAATATCAATACATTGACTGGAAACGAAGGAGAGATCAGGAAGCATTGTAGGTTTGTCAATGCCTAGCCTAGGTAGTGCATGTATGGATATTGAACTCAAAGTTCATTTTATGGGTTTCTTATTATCTGCATTACATGCTTTAGAAATTACTGATAGCACTTTAAATAGACTTCACCCGATCTTCTAATGGTTCGTTGGTACTTCTCTTTTTTAGAGTTGAAAGATGTTATGAGTTCGAAGCGCCCTTTCTCATTGATGAAAAATAAAAAAATAAAAGATCAAAGGTGAATCTAATTTATTCTTCAAATTCATTTTTTTCACTCTACATCCTATGTTAAACAATGACCATTTTATTCTTCCTATCATGTCATTTTGATAATTTTAATCATGTAATTTAGTTTTCGTGAAAATATTCAAATCATAAATATTGTCAAACTAATAGATGAAATACGACATGGCAATATTCAAATTATAAATATCGTAAAGAAATAGATGAAATACGACACGGCAATATGAAACCGCACATGTGAGGACACTTTTTGTCTCTCCGGAATATTTACAATAACCCTAAACAATGTTACTTGTAGGACTTGATTTCTTAACAATGTTAGACTTGTGTGTCCAAGAATGTAATTTGAGCCTTTAATTTTTTTATGGTTAAAACTTAAAAGAAAGAAACAATTGCACTTTCAATAACAACAAAAAATGCCGGATGAGCAAATTTAAGAATTTACTCTTGTTTTTGTTTGGGAACATAAACAAGAAGCCAAGCATCTTTGTTTCTTCGAAACATTCTGGGCAATGCATTTGCAGGCCATATGCAGACAAGCTTTCCCTAAACAAATAATTAAGATCCAATGCCGTCCAAAAGGGAACATGCAAACAGATCCATATCTACATAATAAATAAAAAAATAGCATCCTTAAGAAAATTAGTAGCACTCCACGTGGCATTGATTAGAGTTGTGATCACCAAGGTACATATCTATATAGCAGAATGTCTACAATATATAGCAGAAAGAATTTCAATCCTCAGTGTGAGAATGGAGACTGAGGTACTCAGCAGAAAGGACCTGGGTGGTTCTCTCCCAGTTGAGAATGTTCAAGCTCTTGCTGCCAACAACTTGAAGGAAATCCCGCCCCGATACATCCGGCCTGAAATTGAACATGAGGAAGTTTCCATGGAGGACTCGCTTCAAATTCCGGTAGTTGATATGAGCAAGCTAATAGGGGATCCATTAGGCCATGGTGATGAATTGGCAAAGCTTCACTTGGCTTGTAAGGACTGGGGTTTCTTTCAGGTATAAGTTGCTGTCTTTTAAATATAAACGTATAGTTGAAAGTTTAAAAGCATTTACTCCTCCATCTGAGGTCATGTGCCGGATATTATCCGCTATAAGATTTACATTATGACTTGGATGCCTTGATATGAATTGTGGTGTTGGTGCAGTTGATCAATCATGGGGTATCAGAAGAAGTGATTGAGAAAATGAAGAGTGACACAGAGGAGTTCTTCCAGCTGCCATTAGAAGAAAAGAAGGCTTATGCTCAGCTGCCGAATCATATTGAAGGCTATGGCCAAGCCTTCGTTGTTTCTGAAGAGCAAAAACTTGACTGGGGGGACATGCTCTTCCTACTCTCTCAACCAGTCTCCCTAAGAAATCTTACATTCTGGCCTACCCTTCCCACTTCTTTCAGGTACTCATGCAGTCTATGATCAATATTCTAAATCAAATCAAACATAAGATTAGCAATAACCACCTCTATAATTCTTTAAGATCCCAACAAGTTCTAAGCTTTGGGTTTTTCTTTCATTGTTTTATTTTTGTCATTCTATTTCGGTGTGGCAATTTTTGACATGACAACCCAACTCAAACCTAACATAGCCTAACAACGACATGCTAACTTAAATAATTAACAAGAGTCGGATTAGCGTCAAACACAAGTAACTCGTTTAACTCGTATTCTGACACGAAGAAAATGACGAAAAAATGACTTGGCATTGAACACGAGCCATTAGCATTAGTCACGTTGCTATATTGATGTACTAATTATTGGTCACGTTGCTACCAGGGAGACCCTGGATAAGTACTCAGTGGTACTACAACAAGTGACAAAGTACCTATGGAAGTTAATATGTGAGAACCTGGGGCTCAATTCAGAGAAGCTAGCAAGCTTGTTTGAGGATGGAACTCAAGGTCTAAGAATGAATTATTATCCACCTTGTCCGCAGGCTAGCAGGGTTATGGGTCTCACTCCACACTCCGATGCTGTGGGTTTGACTCTACTAATTCAAGTTAATGATGTTCAAGGGTTACAAATCAAGAACAATGGCAGATGGGTACCTATAAAGCCAGTACCCGGTGCATTAATCGTCAACATTGGCGACATCATTGAGGTACCACAATGAATACTCAATAGTATATAAGATTGATAAACCACATTTTTTGACCACATTGTATAGAAGTAATGTGCCTATGAACAATCGATGTGATAATGTGTACTCCATTTTCCATCTAATCACTATGTTGTTGCAGATATTGAGTAATGGAGAATATAAGAGCATTGAGCACAGGGCTGTGGTGAACACAGAAAGGGAACGGCTTTCAATTGCAGGATTTCACAGCCCAAATATGATGACAATGATTGGTCCGATGCCCGATCTTGTCAAGAAGGCAGCAAACTACAAGGCTATAAGCAATGAGGAGTACATTAGACTTGTTGTAACCAGCAAACTTGATGGTAAAAACCTACTCGACCATATGAAATTGAAGCAGTGACAAACATTATTGAGCTCAAAAATTTAAACAATGACATTCATCTGCTTATTTGTTTGTCCGACTCTCATTATTGAGCTCAAAAATTTAAACAAGGACAAGAACTAATAATTTGGAAGAAGGTGATGATACCAAATTGGATTTTGTACACCTTTCATATAAAATTAGAGGAATGCTAGCTACCTTCCCCTCTTATCTTACTCAATCTAGCTTTCCCATTCTCGTGCTGTGTATTACTTAAGCACTTAACACTAAAGTCTCCAACTCTTTCAAAACATAAATTTCACTCACCCTTACTTACCCTTATATGAGAGTTAGCTAAAGCATTCATTAAGGGTAAGCATGTCAGAAATAATATGTTTTGAAAAAAATTAAAGGTTTAGTTTAAGTATTTGCATGATACACAAGACTGCAGGAGAATGAGAAAGGTAAGAAGAATAAGATAGCAAGGGAAGGTACCTAGCAATCCTCTTGCCACAATTTAGGATGGACAACAATGCCAAATTTTCACATTGAATGACCTCCCCCAATATGCCATTCACTATTTCAAATAATAGCATTGCCATTTGCTACGAAAAAAGTGAAAATAATGCATTTGAATGCATGAATGGCTTTGTTGGAATGCCCTAATAACCAACTGTTTCAGCTAAAATTTGGCAACAATTAAATGAACAATACCAGCAACTTCTCGCCAAAATAATGATCTCTAACCTCACTCAATCCTTACTTCTGATGTCAACAATACAGGTAAGTAGATTTACAGTCCCTACTGGCCACAGAGTTATACATAAACCCCATTCCACACCATCTCCGCAGACATATTGAACCACACTAAAACAAATGAAAATTCAGCATATGCTCGCTATTAAAGCACTCAAAGGGGTTGGTAGGATCAAGGTTAAGCATACCATTGTCTAAAACAAAATAGCCACCATTTAAGACCACAATAAATAATGAAAAGTGATTTTGGTAATGAGAGTGGCAGAAAAAAAGTAATTCAAATGGACAGAAACAATCTAGAAACACACAGATATGCCAAGGTGAAAATGGAAAGGAACAAGGGCATCAGTTCTCCAAGATGATAAAACATCAATGAATATTTCAGATGCAAATTACCCATTATATCAATGAGAATCATCAGCTGCCCAAAGCAAAGAAGCATTCCAACCATCCAATGGCAACAAGAATTTAGCACTAAATCCAATTCAGACAAATGTGTGTGAGTAAATAAGTGAGATTATATGTGGGGAAAAGGAAGTAAATTAGCTAGAAAGCAATCAAAACCTGTCGGGATTCACAGTAACATCACACTGTTATCAGGGTACTGACATACATGAATTCTTCTCCTTGCAATACACAATTTGAGGAGCATTTGGAGTGTAAAAATAGACCCTCTCGAAATTTGGACTACCATTGAAGATGCTCTTAGAGATGTTCTAAGAGCATCCCCAATGGAGTACAAATTTGAAGATGACCCATTTCTCATCTTCAAAAGAGCTTTATCCCACTCTAAGATATTCTTTAATGAAGATCACATTACAAAAGAAAAGAAAACATTTTTATTTTCTCTTCAACCTTAACCTCATTCAATCCCTCCTTCTGATGTTAAGGGTACAGGTAAATAGATTTGCAATCCTTACCGGCCAAAGAGCTATACATCAAACCCATTACGCATTATCTCCATAGATATCTTTAACCACACTACAACAATAAAAAGAATCACCATATGCTCGGTATGAAAGCAACCAAAGGGGTTGGTAGGATCAAGGTTAAGCACACCATGATCTCAAACAAAAAAAGTAACCATTTAAGAGCAAATTAAACAATGAAAAATGGTTTTAGTACTGACAGTGGCAGCAAAAAAGTAATTCAAATGGAAAGCAGCATTCTAGAAACCCACAAACAATGCTAAGGAGAAAATGGAAAAGAACAAGGGCATCAGTTCTCCAAGGTGATAGATAAAACATCAATGAATATTTCAGACGCAAATTACCCATTAATATCAATAAGAATCATCAGCTGCCCAAACAACAAAAGAAGCACTCCAATCATCCAACAAAAAGAATTTGACCCAATTCAGACAAATGTGTGAGTGAGCGATCAGAACCTGTCGGGATTCACAGTAACATCACACTGTTATCAGTGTACTGACATACATGAATTTCTTTCGTCACCTCGCTATCGTTCAGCTATCATTCCTAAAAATTCAAGTTAACAACAACAACAACAAAAACATGTCACCAAACCATGAAAATGAAAGATAAAGAAAGAAAGCAGCGTGTGCGTGCTGAAGAGAAAACACAGAGATCTAGCGAGTGTGAGACTTGAGGGAGGGGATGAGGCTGAAACAGACAACTTATAGACACTAAGAGAGAGAGAGAGAGAGCCAAACCCTAGATTTCCTTTTGTTTTGTGGGCTGAGATCAAGTGCCCCTGGCCCAGCTCCTGGCTAAATAAGCCCACAACATGACCGTGAGACCGTACACCAGCAGAGCTTAAGATGTTGGGTGCTAACAGTGGACATCGAATAATTTTCACATCCTCTTACAAAGGCCACTAATTCGACTCACTGTTTTTTAGTACAAGCAATTGCGGGAGGGGAGGTATATATAAATTTTCATTGGATGCGGGTGTCTCGAACCTTTATCCACATAGATGGAGGTGGAAGAACTCAACCAACGAGCTATATCCCAATGGCAACTGTAAATTCACTAAAATGTATGGTGGGCAACGTTTAGTTTGGTTGGAGATCTTAGATCTTAAATCAAATTGACCACACCAATAACTAACCCAATAGAATCAGTTTAGGTCGTTATAAGTTTTTATTCAACACCTATTTTTAAATTATTTTTTGTTGCTTTCAATCTCGAGATGAAAGCCAAATTTTGGTTTTTGAATTTGAAATACAATTTTTCGAATTTCTTTTTCAACATAATCCTAGATTGACCTATAAGAGCGTAACATGTACAATAAAAATTATAAAATATTTTGTTTTATCAAAGAATATTCTTTTTCATACATGCGTGCCAACTACTAAAATCCAAGCATATATAGATATTTTCCCCACTTCAACCCCCTAGATTTAAGACATATAAAAGACATCAATGCAATTAGTAGTGGATGGACCATCTATATTTGAACTGTACATTATAGTTGTATTTCTCCGAGGTAGGATTTACATATTATTGCTTGTATATAGCGAACAACTATCAAAACATTAACAGTATAATTATTCACGTTAAGAATGAGAAGGTGCTCACTAGTTACTACCCGAGCATATTCTTCTTAAATGAAGGTTCTTTCATTTAAATTCATCTGTTTTGTATAGAAAGCGACTTAGTTTAAGCAAGCATGGAGAGAACTTAAGAAAGCACATGCGAAGTTGACAATGCTGGTGATTTTTATAAATACAATGCTTTGGTGAAGTTGAGAAATGCTGACTTTGGGCCTCTAATGTTGTTGGGAGGCAACATGCATATGGGTAGCTACCAAGCATTTAATGGACAGTGATGCTTCTTGTTATTTCAACCACTCATTGTGTGGTTGCCGACGGATTGATTGATTATTTTCAAAGGCATGAAAATATATGAGCCATATTTTCATGTAGATCCCTATTCCGTATGAATTGGGCAAGTTCTCATTTGCCGTAGTTGAAACAACCACTCTAGCTACAAATATCATCTTAGAAAATATGCATCCTGCACTACTTTATGCTTAGAGCCCTCAAAACCTCACTTACAGCTAGTGAAAAAGAAAAAAGATGCCTTCATGTTCGCAAACTGTGGCCGGCATTCCAGTGGTAGATTTCTCGAACGCGGACTGCTTGAAGCCGGGGACAAGCTCTTGGCTCTCAGCACGGAAAGACGTTTGCCGGGCACTCGAAGAGCTCGGCTGTTTCATGGCAATCCTACCCAGCAAAGTTCCTCCGGAACTTCAAAAAACCTTCTTTGGTGCATTTGACGAGTTGTTTAATTTCCCCGTCGATACTCCTGAGAAGCCTTTCCGTGCTGGCTACATAACTTCAAGTCCTGCGCAGAAAGGCATTGGAATTATGAATGGCAAAAACCCTAAAGAAACTCAGGAATTCACACATCATTTTTGGCCAGATGGAAACGACCAATTTCGGTATAATTTATTCTACATGTATTTTTGCCTTTCCATTTCCAACTATATAGCTAATTGGCTTGTTTACAATATTAATTAATTTGTTCTTTGTTATTGGACAGTGAGAGTGTTGACTTGTATGCAAGAGTGATGGCAGAAATAGATCAAGCTGTGACAAGAATGGTATTTGAGAACTATGGTGTAGAGAAGTACCATGACGATCATTTTCAGTCGACTTCGCACTCTCTTTGATTTTTAAAATACAAAGAACCCAAGAAATTTGAAGTTGATGTGGGTTTACGCAGTCATACGGACAAGATAGGTTGTTATGTAAAGATTTAAAAGTAGATGAGTATGTGGCTATGATATAGTAGCTATAAGGGCCTTTGTTGGAACAACCCTAAAAAGAATTCATATTAAAAATCCAAATGCTTTTTGAAAAACATTTGGGAAGTGATTATTCGGTAAAAAAACAATTTTTATGATCCAAAAGTACTTTGTAATCATAACTGATTTTGTTTGTCCAAAAACAGTTTTATCATGTCAAAACCACTACGAAACAGACTAAAACAATATTTGCATGCTTTGATTTGCCTAGATTTGGAGCAATGATCGAATTCGATCATGTAGGCACAAAGTGACACTGAGAGAAAATGAGGTGAGATACTCGTTCGGACTAATTTCAGTTAATAAAGGGGTGATACAAGTACCAGATGAGCTCGTGGACAAGGAGCACCCTTTACGGTATAAGCCTTTGAATCACCTAGAATTTCTTAGAGTACAGAAAGACGCCGGTGAAACTGAGTATGCTGCACAGGCATATTGTGCCATTTGATCGTTTTCTTTAGTCCACAGATCGCTCCAAGTTGTTGTCTGTTTGGTTTTATGCCTTTCTCTTCCACGTAACTTCTTCTTTTTTCTTTAAAAAGAAAAACACACGATCTCTATGGTTTTTTTATTTTCTTAGCCAACCAGTTTGATATTGCTGTGCTGTGAAAATAATCGCTATCAGATTTGCTGTGAGAGAGAGCAGTTTGTACTGTTTGTACAATAATCAGTTTCAGAGTGTTTGGTAAATTTTCTGTGACAGTGCTGTGAGCTGTGTATAATGACTAAAAAGGGCATTATGTTGACTGAATTTTCTCTTCAAGTGTTTGGTAAAAGGAAAAGCACTTTCACTTTATCTTATATATATATTTTGTATTAAATATGTTTCCATCACACCCTAAATTTTATTTTAATTATAAAATAAATAAAATTTCCATTAAAAATAAATATATTGTCAATAATATGATCATAAAAAAAATTAAGCTAGTCATAAACAAGACCATAGTATGGCAATTTCATTTTATCTTGCCACCATTCCTCATATGCATCAACGATATTCTTAACGACATTCAAATGCAAGGATAGGAGCATACTTGTACATTAGCAGCAAAGCCAAAATGATACAGATCAATAAAATATCAATACAGAAATTTCGGCTAGACCTCAGCTGTAACAAACACAAAACTTGCAATAGATCCAGCAACAAAGAAACAAAAATAGGAACATAAAAAAAACAACAAATAAAAACCAACAAATGGAAAACTAAAAATGTGTTTAGAAGGAGAAAATGGAAGTGTGCTATGTTAAATTGGGCACATCATTAAACTCTCGTTAAGATATGAACAGATTTGGTTGGAACCTGTAAAAGCTTAAACAATGACCACGTGCCCTAAATAGATGACTCGGTGTCAATCGAACTCGAGAGCTATTGATCGTTAATTGTATTACAAAGCCAACAAGTTCTAAAGTCACTCTTTCCTTTTCAAAGGACAAATGCTAACCTTGCAAAGTCAATCGATTCAATTAGTCTAATGCTTGATTGATTAGACTCATTGCTGGAGCATTAAGTCCAAACAAAGTATGAACTATTGACCAGAAAAGGAGAAAAACAAGGTATGAACAAAACAACCATTTCTCTGTAACCAGATCAAAATATTAGCGTTTTCAGACCACCCAAAATCCCTTGGATTCAACTCCAGCCTCCAGGGGCGTAGACATTTTATATCTCTTTTATTATTTCGACATTTTATAATTATTTTTTGGAATTTCTGAAAAGAAAAATTAATCCCATGAAGTCTAGAACCAGTGAACCAGCAATGGCCAGCTGGGTCAATTTGATGTGTCTCTGGAGCCCGGGCACAGAAGAAGCAGGCTTCAACATCACGAGCCCAGGCACTAAGAACACAACCATCATATTATAGAAAACCAACAAGAAGTAACTCGTTTAACTCGTACTCTGACACGAAGAAAAAATGACTCGGCATTGAACACGAGCCATTAGCATTAGTCACGTTGCTATATTGATGTACTAATTATTGGTCACGTTGCTACCATTAGGGAGACCCTGGATAAGTACTCAGTGGAACTACAAGAAGTGACAAAGTACCTATGGAAGTTAATATGTGAGAACCTGGGGCTCAATTCAGAGAAGCTAGCAAGCATGTTTGAGGATGGAACTCAAGGTCTAAGAATGAATTATTATCCACCTTGTCCGCAGGCTAGCAGGGTTATGGGTCTCACTCCACACTCCGATGCTGTGGGTTTGAGTTGACTCTACTAATTCAAGTTAATAATGTTCAAGGGTTACAAATCAAGAACAATGGCAGATGGGTACCTATAAAGCCAGTACCCGTCGTCAACATCGGCGACATCATTGAGGTACCACAATGAGTACTCAATAGTATATAAGATACCACTTTTTTTGACCACATTGTATAGAAGTAATGTGCCTATGAACAATCGATGTGATAATGTACACTCCATTTGGAACATAATACGGTCAAACAAATGTAGTCTCTCCAACAGTACTTGATGCTTTCCGTCTAATCACTATGTTGTTGCAGATATTGAGTAATGGAGAACATAAGGGCATTGAGCACAGGGCTGTGGTGAACACAGAAAGGGAACGGCTTTCAATTGCAGGATTTCTGTCACGCCCCGGACCCGGGGTAGGTGGAAACCCCGTGCCCGGTGCATGAGTAAAATAAAATATATAAAAAATAAAAAAACAAAAAAAAAAAAAAAAAAAAAAGAACAAAAATTTTTTTTTTTAAAAA